GAATCTGAATTTAGGAGGCAGTGTATCCTGGAGACTTCCAGTTCTCATTTTTAGATGTAGTTAAAAAGTTGATCACAGTGTCAGAGGCTGCTGGCAAATCCTGTTAACAGAAGTATCCAATGTCTGCTGTACCCTCCAGGACAAAAATGAGGCAGTGGGGAATATTTGGGAAATTGAAAAGCTGAAATTGTAATTTTAAATCCATCAATCTTGAATTATTTTTGTTGTCAAAAGAATTGCAGCCAAGTCAAGCTCTCCAGCTCCTGGATTTAGTTGTTTGTGGGGTTTTTTGTGATGTTTTTGGTACTTTGGAAGCTGTATGAAAGGTGAGCAGGGATTTACAATATTGTCTCATAGTATCTCTCTGGTGGGCTGCCTGTGCTGGGAGGTTTTCAAGGAAATAAAAAGTGTTTGAACTACTGTTTGTGGAAGATTTATGTGACTGGTTTCCAGAGGCTGCTCTGAGCTGCTTGTCTCAGGGCTGGAATTTCCCCCTCCCTGCTCCCTTCCCTTGCCCTGGGTGTGCACAAGAAGGAAAGCTTTCACTGCAGTGTTCTTCGGGGGATAAGCAGCACAGTCTGAACTCATCCCTTCCCCTGGGGAGGCACTAAATGGTCAGTAAAAGAGATGACCAGCTGGAGAGCAGCTGATTTACAGCAGGAAGCTGAGAGTAATTGCCTAGGCAAAAGCCAGGAGCCCTCACTAATGAAGCTGCCCCTGGAAGTGCAGGAAAGACTGGAGGTGGCTGGGGATGCTGCTTTACCTTCCCTTTGTGCTGCTGGAGCTGCTGTAAACAGCAGAGCTTAAAAAGGGAGCTGGGGAGGAGGGGTGGGCATGACTCATGGCATCATTTTATATTTATCAAGTGGAGGTGTATGAATGTTGTTCTTCATTTCATAGGGATGAGTAAGTAGGTAATGGATGTTTCTTAATCTTGCTAGCTGATAGAAAAAGAGCCCCAAAGTCATCTCCTGGGGTGGGTTAAATCCAAAGTTCCAAACGTTAAAGAGCAGGAAGTAGAACTGTTCATCTAAATTAAAGAAATGAAAGTAATAAATTATTACCCAAAATAATGAAATAAAACTAATAAAATATTACCCAAAGCTTGGGGAAAAGGCATGTAAAATAAAGAGGTATTAAGTGCCCTTCTTGTATTTTTTAATCAAGCAGTCTTTTCATAACGCAAAGCCTGATTTTTTTTTATGAAGACAAAATTCCACTTGCTTTAGTCAGCCAGTGGTCCATGGTTTGTACCTACCTGTGGAAGTCAAGTCAAAGGAGAGACTGGGCCATAGAAATGTTATCTGGCACCTCACTTCAGTCTTGTCTAGACTTTGCACTTGAAGATAGGAAGGCTGCAAGCAATCTGGAATGGAGGTGAACTCAACAACAGGCGCTGGTGGGGAGCTAAAAATAGGAATTAATGTGGGAGAGTTGGAGCTGTGTGTTATAAATGGTGCAGAGGAGATGCTCGTGTGCCTCTGCAGGTCCTGCTTGTGCAGTCATGCATTTCCAGTGAGGCTGGGGAAGGTGATCTGGGATTTTTATTTATAGTGGTGCCCAGGAGGCCAGGCAGCCCTCAGTGTGGGATATAAATGTTGGGGAATGTCAGTGTGTGTTGTACCTCAGAGGAAAAGAGCAGGGAGAGGGGAAATCTGAGAGAAGCTGGGCTGGTGAGGTATGGACCTCCTAAATTAGTACCCTGCTGCTGGAAAAAGGGATGTAAGGCTTCAAAAATAAGTGACACCTCCTCTTTGCATTGTAACACAGCCCTCCAGGAAAGAATTCCAAGGAGCTGGGAGTTGTTACAGAGTGTTACTATACACCACAAAATGGGTTTCCAAGAACATCTTTGTTTATGGAGGATTGTGGCAAGAACCGGGATGAAATGGGCCACTGGGATGTTTTTCCTGAAGTGACCCACATCTCCACTGCAGGGAGGGAAGGCAAAATAAAATGGAGTTGTATGTGGTCTGTAACAGGTTTGGTGCCTTCAGCCTTCCTAAGAACTCATAATCTTTTTATAATACTTGATTCTAGAAGATGGAATGCACTGTTCTGTGCTGCATGTAAAATGTACAGACTTGGAGATTTTTGTTTCCTAATTGCTTCAAATAATTTAATGGAAAATCTCATCTCTGCAAGACACAATCTGTGTTCTGAAGACATTTTTAAGTTGAAGTTCTGATGAATTCTTAGGCTGGTGGCCTTCCAGCCAGGTTTCCTATGCTGAATTAGAGTTCTGCAATTCCTTGTATGAATCATGGCAATTCCATCAATGCCTTTGGCTCTGTCCAGAGTTGTGAGAAAGGGGATCATGGTGGTGGCTTTGTCATGTGTTCAGTCCCTTTAGTAACTGGAAAAAAGGCACAAATTGATTTTTTTTTTTTTATTTAAATGTGCATTGCAAGTTGTGGTTCATTAATGAAGGTTGAATAGAATTGCTATTAATTTACAGGGGAATCTTGCCAAGGTGTAATGGGTGGAAGCAGGCTTTTAGAAATGGAAAACAGTTATATGACACTGTGTTGGATTTCAATTTATTATAAAGTTAAAGGGGTTTTTTTGTCTCTTCTTCTTTAAGACCATGAGTTCGATAGAGATCTGTAACCCCATGAGGAATTTTAAACTAATTTGGAGAAAACAGCAGTTATACAATTTACATTTTAAAATTAGTGTTACTTTATGCTGTATTTTCATTAGAGCATAGAGTAGGTGCAAATAGTATCATTTTGTAGGCTAAAAATTAGCTGGTAGTACTTTGAAGTAGAGAATCTTTATTAATTTATGTTTGGATATTTTTTCTTCTTCTGTGAGAATTAGTTTACTGACAAATAAGAAAAAGCTTCTGAGTTTTGTTTTTTTGCCCTGGAAAAAAAATTTCAAGTATTGGGGTAGTTCAGCTTTAGCTAATTGTGTGTTCATAATGGAGCATTATGAGCATCCTCCTTTCATTTTCCTTGAAAGGTTTTCTGAAACATAGATTCTCTTATGGGGGGAAAGTGCTTTGAAAATTCAGTTGGTTTTATTCAAGGATTTTTAATCAATCCGGATCTTGTTTGAAAAACAAGTTTTCCTTGTTTCATTTTCTTCACATCTGCAGAGAACACAGCTTTAAGTCTGCTCAGACAGGAAACCAGCCACCAATATTTGCTTTTTTTCAGGCATAGGCCTTTTCTGGGCTTCATAAACTGTTGATATGAAGCCTAAAAGTGTCCTGGAAATTCTGGAGGATTTTGTTGAAGAACCACCCGGTACAAATTAGGCAATACTGATAAATGGCAATTTTTATATTCATTTAAATGCAAACAAGGTGTGATGCCAAGTTCTGCCAGACTAGAGGTGTAATTTAGAGAACAGCTACCCTTGAGCTTGCCCTGTGTTTACAGGAGATGTTGCTTCAGTGTGAAGTGATCCCAAGAGCCTCAATTGAATTACTGATGAATGTTTGTTAAATAATGATATTGTCCTGATGCTCAAGTGTTTATTTTTGTGGTCCTTATAAATATAACATGGTTACAGAGCTTGACTTAAATCTGTGATATTTAAATTATGAGGAACGCACCAAGAAAATTTAGATTACGTTCGTAAATTTTCATACTTTATTGAAGAATAAACCTTTGCCTATTTAAACCATTGTTGCTGGTGACTTTTAAAAAATGTTTCTCAAAGTGATTGAGTCAAAAATTTGCTTGTGTTCTAATTAGTTATAAAATGGCAGCTGTAAATACAACTATTCATTTACATGTTTGTATATTGATAACCCCCCACCCCAAAAATGTAAATATCTGAGTCTCTAAAATAAACACTGATTCTTTTCCCAAAACAACACTTGAAAAACTGTCTCATGTTTTGGTGTGGGTATCAGTAGCTAACTACAAATAATTATCAGGTGTCTGTCCCATTGTATGTGTATGTAAGTGTATTTAAATCAAGTTACCTCAAATATTAAAGGTAAAGAGTGTAAAGAAATACTAAAATGAAGCTTCTATATTACAGTTAAAGCTGGAAAATTATGAAAAATGTGATGTGCTTCAACCTTCTGTGTCTTACAGTAGTATTTTTGGATCTGTACTATTTCTGAATTTTGTAACAAAATGTGAAGACTGAATCATTTTTTCCCTGCCCTGGGAAAGATTGGCATCAACCTGATTTTTATCATTTTTAGATGAGTATGCAAATTTATCTTTGGTCTTACAAGGCTGGCTCTTAAAGTAAAATGACTGTCCCATAAAATAAAAGGAAGCAAAACCCGTGATGCAAAAGGCAGATCCATAAAAGGTGAATGGTAAAAGGGTAATAGGTGGGCACAAAGCAGATGTAATTTAATTTTTTAATGCAGAACAAATTTAAAAAGAAAAAGGAAGACCCCAAAAGCCAAAATAAAAGCCTGGTGCACTCAGACCTCAGTACCATGAGCAGAGAGTGTTCACATCTCTGTTGCTGCACATACAGCTTCATTTTTCCTATTTAATGTACAAGAATGAAAATATGTCTTCTTAGACACATCTAGACGTGAAGTGCCTTTTGTAGGAGGGAAGAAAAAACGAGAACAATGTTTCTAAAGGCTTTTTTATTGCATTTGCATAAGCTAGATATGAAAAATTGCAGTGGGCAGTGGAGCTCCTAAAGATTCTTTCTTGGCCGTGAGAAGCAACGTCAAAGGAGGAAGTGTAACCCCACTGCTGGCTCAATTTTGTGCACGTTGTGAAGGATTTTTCAGTGATTTTGTCAAAGTCTTGATGCTCATCTGCTGCTTCCCACTTGTAACTTTACACCTAGGCTGTTGGAACTGCTAAATAAACGCTGCAAAGTCTGAAAGTCCTGTCTGAAAATGCAGTGGTGGTGGTGTGGGGAGCAGCTACGCTTCACTTACCCTTCCGTAGAAACTTCTTGAAGCTACTGATTGAAACTGCTCAAAATGTCGTGCACTGAGGTGTCTTAAAATTAGCAACAAGGAACTTTGCTTACCTCCTGTGCTTTTTGTTGTGCAGTGTGATGTCCAGGGTCAGAAATGCCTTATGTGGATCGCCAGAATCGCATCTGTGGTTTCTTAGACATTGAGGAAAATGAGAATAGTGGGAAATTCCTGCGGCGGTACTTCATCCTGGACACGCAGGAGGACAACCTGGTGTGGTACATGGATAACCCACAGGTGAGCTGCTCCTGCCAGGGGTTTCCTGGTTTGGCTCAATTTTGGGTTTTCTTACGAATTCGCAAAAGAAAAGTGGGGTTTGGTATTACGGACCTGGAAGCTAGGGGAAACAATCATTGAGTAAATGAAATAATTGTAAATCAGGTTAAAATAACCAGATGAGCCAAATCACACACCCTGGTGTTTAATTCACCTTTAACCTTGTGGGTGGTTTTCCTTGCACTACATATTGCTTTCCCTCAACAGAATCAGTCATTGAAAAGCGATTTTTAATGGACTCTGCAATAGCAGTCCAGCGTGGATGGTGTATGAGTGAGGACAGCTTGTATCTGTTGGCATGGAGAGCAGCCTTCAGATAAAAGCTGCTTTTACAATGTGCCTGCATCCCTGTGTTTCCTAGCAGAGGGAAGAGCAGATAATGGCTGAAGGTTTGGGCACAGAGACAGTGAGAGCACAGGATCCAGGTCAGCTGACAGCTCCTGCCAGAGGAATATCCATGTACCCTTGTGCCAGGAGCAGCAGAGTTAAAAAGCATCAGGCTGCTGTTCAAAGGAACCAGCAAAAACAAAATGTAAATGAGGTGCAGCTCCATGGATGTGACTTGTGACTGAAGCATTTAGCAGTTTCACTGAGGAGAAAAAGAATTTCTGCAAGTAACACAGACTTCAAACATTTGATCTGAGTGAAAAGAAGCAATTCAGGGCATGTGGACAAAATCTTCAATGCTGTAGAAATTGCAGTTCCTCAGAAGTTTTAAGACTTAATGATATTTGCAGTGCACACCCAGGCCTGGGTTAGGCCTTTTATTTTACATGCACAAATGAAAGGGTTCCTTGCAAGAGAAGAATTGAAACTTCTTGATTTTCTCCTACTGCTGTAATTTTGAAGAACTGCAGAGTTCTTTTAAATATGTGAAGGCCTTCCTAAATCCCTGAAGTGATTGGAAAATATGTGAGATGGCCTTTGAAGTATCTGACATAATAGATGAATGTCACTTCTTGTCCCTTCCTCCTGCCCTGGTCAAAGTACAAGAGACTCCAACATCTGTTAAGGAAAACAGAAATTCTTTCCGGATTTCCTGGATGCAGAGCCACAAGAATCCTTTTTCCTCTAGTAAAATACATAAACCTCTGAAACAATTACTATTTGTATTGTTTCTAGCAGGCTTTCTGTTTTTAGTTAACAGATGTGTATTTAATAAACAAGTAGTTTAGATCCTGTTTCAGGCATACATTGTGCATTGTCTATAAAAATATGTAGGATTTTCTTTTTGTTTGTGGAATTACTTGCGTTTTATGCACAAACAGCGATTGTGGCATGAGAATAAACTAGTTTCACTATGTAACATTTGTGATTTGTTTCAGAATCTTCCCTCTGGATCTCCACCTGTTGGGGCCATTAAACTTACCTATATTTCAAAGGTAAGATAATTAATATGTGAGACACTAATTAAATTCTTGGTGGTAACTACCAAGGGCCTCAACTTCAGACAAATTTAAATGGCACTTACTCCTTTTGCTTCTGTGATACTCCTGAATTAGGGAAGTGTCAAAAGACTTCAATAGGTTCAGGTTAAAATAAGAACAGATAAATTACTGTGTTGTCTAAGTTTGTTTAGTGATTTCAAACAGCAGCACTTTGTGCTCATAAAATTGACATTTCAGTTCTTTGAGTATTTGAATTCCCATTAGTCTTGGAAAAAACACAGGTCATTTATGAATGGGAAGATGACTTTGGGTGTGATACCTTGCAAGTAATAGTGACTTTTAATAGACAGGACAGAAAAATTTCTAAAAAATACCTAGTCCTTTATACTGTGTATACAGTTAGTTCTAAATATGTCTGAAAGGGAACTGTGAACTCAGAATGTTTCTGTGGTTAAATTTGTAGCAGATAGTGCATTAACAAATAAATGGAGAAAAATACTTGACTTTTTCTTGTCTGTCTGCTCATTTCTTGTTCTTCCTTTGCATTTTTGTTGTCAATACTGCATCTTCCCACCTTCCTTGTTTGTCTTTCATTTTTGTTCTTTTATAGTTCTCTTTATCATTATGCCTAACCACCTTGCCGTGCTTCTAATCTTTGAATTTACCCCCTTGAAAGAGAATAAAGCTTGTGATGTCTGATGTGTGTATTTTGTGACATTTATAATCTGAATTTCCCTTCTAGGTTAGCGATGCAACTAAGCTGAGGCCAAAGGCAGAGTTCTGTTTTGGTGAGTTTGGCTTGTGCTGTGTGCATCAGGTGTCTTCTTCAGACATTTGGAACAAGGAGAATGTTCTGCAGTTCTGCTACCAGCTACAGCTGGGAGTGGTTAAAAAATAGCTTGTATTCACTTTCTTCTTTAGTCTGATGGAAATGTTGGCTTCCTCATAAGGTGTTTTTGTGTTTTTTCATAGTGCAGCTTAATGAGGAGTAGGTGCGAGCTGTTTTTTCAGATGTCTGAAATTTTTGAGGCATTAATAAGTAATGACAGTTGTTTTCAGAAACGTGGCCTGCCTGTCAGCTGGAAAGACAAGAAATCTAACTATTGAACATTTGTTTTCCTGATGAAAGACTTAATTTAATTGATCTAAAAATACTCTCAGCCAATGCTCTTAAGTCAAATTTCAGCTTCTGGTGCTGCACAAAAAAAATAATTCTTGGGGTGCCTTCTAGATTTAAATTTGTTTAAAATTTACTGAAGCTTTAGATAATCCTAAAGCTCCTCCTGGTTTTAGGCAAGTACCTGGTGTGTCAGTTCAGTGCCATCTACAGATTACAGATTCCTCTGCACATCTGTGGAGGGCTTTGTCCTCAGCACTTGGAAAGTTTCTCCTGTCAGTGGGCCAGCTCTAAAACACCTTAAAGATCCAAGATGCTGGCTTGAATATCTCTAATTTATTAAAGAGTTTTCATACTTTGTAGAGGAAAAATACAGATTTACTGTCTTTATATTCAGATGGTTTTAATCACCGTAAAACCTATTTCAAGAATTAGCCATGATTTTTGTTTTGCTGTGACACTGAAATGTGTTTGTCATTTTTTGATAAAGGATGCCAGGGACTGTGAGGTAGAGATATAAACTCATTAAAATATGTTTCTCTGCCAAGTCACTGAAGTAAAAAAATTTGTGTTGTAGCTGTCTTAAAGTTGTTTGATCTTGTACATCATATACTTAGTAATTAATACTGATTTTCCCAGCAATTAACTTTTTTTTTTTTTTAAAAAGTAAATCAGTGACCATAGTCATGTTCATAATGTCACAAAGGATAACAGATTCTGGGCAGAGGATTAAAAGGAGGAATTGTAGAAGTCCCCAGGTATAAGACTTGTTGCATGGGGAAATTGAGAAAGAGGAAATGCAACTGTAGAATATTTTGATAAAATTCAAGGCAGAAAAATCAATTTTCAAAGTTTGTATCATGCCATTTACGTGGAGAGCTTAAATTACTAATTTTTTAGAATAAAGCAATCAAGTGGATTTATGTGCCTTAAGATGACTTTCTAAAATGAAGCACAGCAGAGCACTTAAATACTTTAAATGGAATTTCATCTGAAATCAAATCTTTTCATAATGATATTAAGTTTGCTCTTAAATTTCAGTGTTGTTAACTTTTCATGATGGTTTTCAACAGTTATGAATGCAGGGATGAGAAAATACTTTCTACAAGCCAATGATCAGCAGGACCTAGTTGAATGGGTAAATGTTCTGAACAAAGCTACCAAAATCACAGTAAGTGGTTGAGTTGATCTTTAGCAGTGCTTTCAAATTATGATTGTCTCAAGGTGCTTAAATGTAACCTTTGCCTCCAGTTTCTATCACCACAAACAAGTCTTGGCTTGATTTTGCAGTACTTGGAGAAACTGTAGAGAACTCCCCCTAAATTTGAGTTTAACTTTCTTTTTGGAAATTGGACAAAAGATAAGCTTTTTAATTATAACTTAATATTTTTTCTAGTAATTTAAAATTAACTGTGCATTAATATTATTTGAAATATCCAGAAGACACTAGCAAGCAATGAAAAGACACACATACTTTTACCTGCTGTCAAAAGCTGTTATTTCTTTAAGTATCACTAAAATATTTGATCAAGCTCCAAAGGCTCTCTCCTGATTTTGAGTAACATCCATGCAAAGAAACCTTGTTGGTTCTTCTGGTAAATGTTAAATGACTTCTCTGGGTTGTAGCAGGACAAGTTTTTATCTCGTGATAGAAAGCCCCACGTGTTATCTCAGTCTTTTCAGGAGGCAGAAGTTATGGTTTTATATTTTCCAGTTTTGGGGAAGTGATGACAGTGAACGCTTCTGAGAGCACACTCTGACAAAGAAGGGGTTCTGAGCATGGGTGCACACTTGTGTTTGTTGTCTGTGACTTTCTCATTTTTGAGTTATCTAGGGATGTTTACCTGAGTTCTTTGCACTGTTTTAATGCAGTCCATTCTTTGGAGTTATAAAAATGATACTACTAATGATAAATTAAAAAAAACCCCAGAAGCACAAAGCCTTCTCACTTGAGTTTTTCATAAAGAGGATGCACCACAGCCAGGCCTGAGCTGTTCCCAGTTGAAGAAATTAAATGAATAAATAAATAAACGAGTGCATCAATTTAGAGTGAATGCTGTTTATCATCTGTTTATCTTGCATTTGAAATGGCTGGTGAAATCATTAGTATGATTTTGTCTTTGAAGGAACAAGCCTTTGAACAGCTCAAGTGCAGTATTAAGTACATCCAATTATTGAATCAAATAATTAAGATCACTCACTTATTTTAATATGAGCATTACTTGCTGCAGATTGCAATCCTCCAAGATTCATTGCATGTTTTAGTCCTCTTGAGTGCTGATAATGTCAGAATGGCTGTGAACCTCTGCAGCCTAGCACACTGTGTACCCATTTTTGAGAGCTGTTTGAAAATGCCTTTGTGTGAGGAGGTGGCTGTGGGCTCGGGCTGCATTTTCAGTAGGAGTTTGTGACAGCTGAAGCACTTCCCCACAAGGCTGTAGCTACAAACCCTGCTTTTCAAAGGCTGAGGCTCATGAGTGAGCTATCCTTCAGTGCTGGGCTTGGCTGGGGATGGAGTCCCTGGCAGAGGGGTGGCCAGCAGGACACTGTCCTGGGCTGACATCTGCTCTCAGCACTGTCTGTACTTCCCTGCAGGCTGCATTTTGTAAAATGAGCACTCCTGGGCACAGGAACTTGAATCACAGACTATAAAGTAGCTTTGCTTTCTTGTCTAGATCAGTTCAGTTCCAAGTTTTGAATGTGTCACAGTCTTGGATGGACAATTTGTGTGTCCTTTCTGAAGGAGTTTGGATGTCCTCTGTAAATAGCCAGTAGGTTGCTGGGTGGGGTATTTGGGTGTGAGACTTGATCTCTTCTTGTTGAAGTCACTTCAGATGTGCTATATTAACATTAGAGGTGAAGGAGAGATTGAAGGAGAAGAATTGAAGGAGAAATTTCTTTTTCGTTAGAAATGAAAAAGATCTTGTAGTCACTGCATTTCTTAGGTTAAACAAGTTTACTCCAAAAACTGAGTAAACTTTTTAGATCAAAACACTTAGAGGGAAATCAAATTCCTGTGGAGTTTTGATGGCTTAGTTCCACATTTGAGAGAATTATCTCATAGTTACTGATAGTTAGGTAGGCAGGGTCACTTTGGCCAGAATTTAGCAATATATCTGTGATTAATGGGGGCAGTAACACAATCTTCATGCCAAGTACATGTGAGGACAAATGTCACACTGGTCAGACACCCTGTGTGACCAAAGTCCCAGTGTTTATGGCCTTGCTGTGCTGCCTCTGCAGGCACTGGGGCGTCTCCACTTTCTTACTAAAACTGAAAGCAGCTGAAAAATAAAGAACCAGTTCTCAGTGTTTGGTGAAGATTAAGTGATGCACTTTATGGCAAAGCCTGCAACTGATTTCATCCCCTGAAATGTCTTTATTGGCACCACTTTCCTCTGGAGCACTAAAGCACAGTCATTACAACAAATTTTTGTATAAGCCATTTTTAGCCTTTTACAGTTAGTGACCATTTGTTAAATCCTGCTGAAAATGCCTCAAAATTCTTGAGTAATGCTCAGGTTTTTGTTTTTTTTTTTTTTTTTTTCCTGAAACTGATGTCAATTGTCACATTCCAACTGCAGGTACCAAAGCAGTCTGATCCTCTCTGCCAAATGGAAAATGCAAATCGTCAAGCTGAAAGCCCAGGTGGGAAGAAGCAAGTCTCTTACAGGACAGAAATTGTTGGTGGTGTTCCCATCATTACACCCACCCAGGTAATACCCTCCAGACAAGTGGGTTATTATTTTACACAAAAGCTGTACTTTTATATACACCTTTATTCATACTGAGTGGAGGTTCTCAGGATTTTATTCCCTTTATATGAGATTTTAAGTATTTGCTTGAGTACTGATTTTTTTTTTTGCTCACACATACCTGTTAGTATAATAATAATATTTTTGTCTGCATAAAATTAATTGTTGATGTTAACAGTGATGAAGTTCTGCCCCTTTAACAGAAAAAAAAGGGGAAAAAGTTGTAAGGAAAAGTGGGGAAAAAAGGTTGAGAGGCTGAACAAGCTTATGGAAGTAGAATCTGTGCAGTGCTAAAGATAGAACTGAATCTGTTGCTGAAAGTTTTCTGAGATGAAAATAGTTACAGATTAGATGAATATCATGTAAATTATATATATGCTCCCAAAATGCTTTAAAAATTTAGTGAATTCTGATGTTTTGTAGTCCTAGAAATAACTTTTTGTTTGCTGTAGCCACCTGTAGTGTTTTGCCCATGTTACTAAATACATGCATTAGTTTAAATCTGTACCATTTTTTTAACTGAGATTTGTCAATATTATTTGAAAGCACTCAGCACATTCTTGGTTTAGTTTCTAAGAGCAGCTTACAAGGACTCAGCCCTTGGGGAATCTCAGTTGTCTCTGGAAATCAGTTAAAATATTTTGTTCTTTCAAATTGGAAATGAGATTTGTGAGCATGGGATGACAAAGTTATTTCCTAATGTAACTACTATAGCTCTTCCTTCACCTTTAGAAAAATAAAAAAAAAACTTGAGAGTATTCTGAACTTTCCTGTGTTTTTTCTAGAAAGAAGAAGTCAGTGAGGGCAGTGAAGGGGCTGACAGGAATTATTTGAAGAGGTCACAAAGTCACCTTCCTTATTTTGCTGCTAAGCATCCCCCAGATAATGCCATTATCAAAGCTGGTTACTGTGTCAAACAAGGAGCAGTGGTAAGTATTATTAAAAACAAAATAAATTTGACAGTGATTTTATTGCTACTGAGAGTAATAAGGATTAATTAAAGATAAAATTTATCCTCTAGTAGCACTTAATTTTTATATGTGTTACTTATTTTCATGACTTTCTTTATTGTTATGTTGTTGAGGATATTTTAAAGAGGCAAAGTGTGTGCCCAGACTTCCATGGGATGGTTGGTGCATGCAGCTGGGAATTCTGTTCTACATTCTGTAGAGATCCTTATTTTGCTTACTAAAAACATCTAAATTGGGACAGAAGTTCAGTGCCTGCTTTTTAAATCAGTCAAAAAAAGCTGATTTTTCAGTTCAGAGGAAGAATTGTGCATCTTATCAGACTGATTAACACAAGTGGAGCTGTTCATGTGATGTCTTGCTAGAAGAAGGAACAGATAGTTCAGATTAAGCAAGATACACATCTTTGAGTTCTCAGACTCTTTTTATCTTGGATTATGAAGCTTCCTTTTGTGACATCCCTCTTTTAGTTAAAAATAAATTAGAAACCTGTGATGTATTGTCATCCAATTTTTCCTATAGAATAGTTCTGCTGCTGAGTTTCTACAGTTTGAATAAATCTTAGAAAATAGTAGCTTTAAGAATTTTAAATTTTTTCCAAAAAAATTACTAATTGGGCAAAGTCATCCATAATTATCTTGGGGACACTAAAGATGCAGAAGTTGTTATTATAATAAACTATAATGAAAATATTATTCAAAATTAATAGTTATGAATAAATAGGAATTACAAAATATCATGTACTATAAATAACAACTAGAATGGTAAATATAATTTAATATATTCATAATACATTACCTGTAAGTCTATTTTATTTTATATGTAAAATAAATATTTATTATTTTCCCTTAACAGATGAAGAACTGGAAGAGAAGATACTTTCAATTAGATGAAAACACAATAGGATATTTCAAGTCTGAACTGGTAAGTTTCCAATTCTGTGTTATTTTCCAGTGAGAGTTGCAAGGAATATGCTTGTGTTCGAGAAATGTGCTCTGCTACTCCTGCAGCTCTTGAGTCTGTGCTGTAGAACCTTTTAATGACTGGGAAGAACCAAAAAAAATTAGTGGGGCAACTGTTCAATCTGTTTGGGAACGTTCCTGTAGGGCACTGAAGAACAATAATAAAATCTACTCTGCAGTCACCCTGATTCTTGTACTAGTACTTTGTCATTTTACACTCTTATAAAATTAATTGTGTTGTTGAAATAGCTGATCACTGTGGGAAAGACAAAACTAATCTTGCAATTCTTCATTTAAAGTTAGAATTGTGCTTTATCATCCAGATGGTGGGATCTTCTCCTACACATTTGTTTCACCAGGGCAGCCAAGATGGACAAAAACCTCTTGATTTTCTGTTCAACAGCAACATTTGCAGAGTTTCTTTTAGCTTCATGACCTTTCTTCTTTCCCTGTCACTCTAAGTTTTTGGCTGATTTTGACCAGATGTTAAGTGCCTTCAGGCTTCATTTGAAGATTAAATGGCTGGTTCTGAAGACAGTAAAGTGTGGGATTCCTTTTTTGGGAAAACAGACTAAATGTAAGAAAATCTGTACCTAAGGAATGAAACCTGAGTTGTAGAGTATTATAAATTAAGGAGAATTGAGTTTACAGGCCAAACATAAGATGTAAAATGTGAAGAACGCAAATTTCAGGCTGTTTCTGAAGTTAACTTTGATTTCATTTCTAATGAGGACATCAGCAGTAGCAGGGGTTTGATCTTGCATCATTATCTTTGTTAAGCTGTCAGCAGAACAATTCTGACTCACTGCCTGTAAGAAACCCTCTATTTTTATTTAAAAAACAAATGTGAGCTCAGATTGCTCACAAACAAGCTCTAACCCAGTGAAGAATTGTGCTGTGGGAGGGTGGAATAGAAGGATGGTAGAAATACTCTCACTTTCAGTGTTTAATTGTGTTCCTTGAGCCTGGTCCAGTCCAAAGGAGCAGAGTGGAATACAGGCAATATGAGGCTCAGAAAATGATCATTTCTGAGCTGGCCTTTTCCCTCCAAGAGATGGTCTTCACAGTTGATGTATTTGAAAATGCATTTTAATGGATGATTGAACCTAAGAACAGCAGAGAAGAGATACAAGGAGTACAATAACTGAAAACATTGGGTTTAAAACTTCCTACATTTGATCTGCTAAAGAGCAAAATGATTAATGGGAACTGCTCTTGGAGCATGGTTACATTTGGGTGACATTTGCTGCTTGCTCAGCATAAATCTCCTAAGTGTCTATTACAGGAATTGTAGGGGAAGTCATTCCAGAGCTGAAAGCTTTTGTTTTATGTGGAAGTTGTAGCCAAGTGAAGCAATCCATTGTAACTTGGCTTAAAGAAATCACAGTAGGAGGTAAAATAAGTTGTTGTTTGTTTGTAGTTTACTGCAGCAGCCACTAGAAAATAATAGTGTGTGTGATATTATGTTGTCATGGGAGAAGTGAAAGTGTTTCTCTTTGAATGTACTCACTTTTTTCCTATTGTGTGAAACTTTAACACTTATTTTTGCTGTGGTTAACAGAATTTCTGAATGCTTTGAGAGTACTTGTTCTTTTACAGGTGTTAAGGACTGGTTTCTTTTCATTGTAGTAGTACTTTTAATTGTATTAAGTGTAGGGTACAGTTAATCTTACTTAAAGCCGTGTCATACAGTCCAATTAACATAGCCTCTTCTATGGTAGCATTTCATAAGCAGATTAATGTAATCAAAATTTTAATATGAAATGAGCTGCTTGAGGCCAGGGTCAGTTGTCTAATCTGGTTAGGGGGAGATAAGATGTAATTGTTATATATTGATTATAATTTATTATATTGATATTATAATTGATATAATGGTTGTCTTCATTATAATATGGAATTAATGTTTTGGAAGGTTTTGCTTCTTGATTTGTCCTCCTCTTCATTGCAAGTGCCATGGTTGGTTTAATACTTACAAAAGCAAGGGAAATTTTGGTTGACACCACTTTTTTCATAGTGACTGCCTTGAAAGTCTTATTTTTGTAAGACTGCTGCTGTCCTGGCCTCTGGCTCTCTGTTCTAGTTCTTAGATACACTGTACCAAAACATATTTCTTTTTTCAGGAAAAGGAACCTCTCAGGGTTATACCACTTAAGGAGGTCCATAAAGTTCAGGAATGCAAACAGAGGTGAGGAGGGAAGCACTGATATCATTACAAGGGATGGAATTCCCTGCTTGGCATGGCCAGGGTGCTCCTTGGAGAACTGTTCAATAACTTCACTTGATGTGTGCATGTGGGATGTTCTTTCTTTATGGGACAGCACATTGTTTTGTGCATTAAATGGGTTTTTTGAGGGTTCTGTATTAATATATTTCAAATTTGCAAACTTGGCACAAGGGCAGAACAAGGGACTGTCATGGAACCAAGAGTTAGAGATGTGTAGGTGCTGTCTGGTCTGAGGCAGCAATTTCAGGAGTCTCTACTCTGCTTCCATAATCTCTAAACCTTTAGAGGACATTAACTCATGTTGGGTGGATGAATCTGGCTGAGAGCACTCTTCACCCTCCCACCAAATGGCAATATACTAAAGAATAATTGCTTTTGTAGCACTTGAGAGATACTGATTTTTCTGTTTCTTCTTTAGCAGATTACTTACATAAATTTGACTAGAATGATATTTTTTAACATATAATTTAGAATGTTCAGATTAAAAATGTATGATAAATATATTTAGTATATGATTTTAAATGTTCCAATTAAAAATACATAGTAGCACATGTGCCACTGGTAAACTAAAGTCTTGGGGCTAAAATTAGTAAAAAAATCAGTTAAAAAACTAGTAGAGTAATAAAGAAATGCAAAAGTCAGACAGCAAATGCTCTGATTGTCTGCCAGTTCTACAGTCTTGTTAAAATACAGTGGGAAAGTTGTACTTGCTTTTGAACTATTTTTGTATTTCATTTGCAGTGATATAATGATGAGAGACAATCTCTTTGAAATTGTAACAACTTCTCGAACCTTTTATGTGCAGGTAATTTCTTTTTTTAAACTTCAGGCAAACCCAAGAGACTGCCAGAGTTAAATACACTTTAAAAGTGGAATAGCAGAACTTCTTCACTTTGACCATGGCATGATTTTCAGGGGGAGTGTGATCTTTAGGTTATTTTTACTGCTTTATATAGTGGTATGCATTTTATAAGTTCAGAGTAAGAAAAGTCTGGGTTAAGAAATAAAGTCTGCTGTGACCGTGTTCACAGGGGTCCAGTGATGAGGGAAGAGACGAGGATCTGACTCCATGTTTCAGAAGATGATTTATTATTTATTATATATATTATGTTAAAACTATACTAAAATAATAGAAGAAAGGATTTCATCAGAAGGCTGGCTAAGAATAGAAAAAGAAAGAATGTTAACAAAGGTTTGTGGCTCAGACAGAGAGTCCAAGACAACTGACTATGATTGGCCACTAGTTAGAAACAACCAACATGAGACCAATCCCAGATGCACCTGTTGCATTCCACAGCAGCAGATAATCAATGTTTACATTTTTTTCCTGAGGCCTCCCAGCTTCTCAGGAGGAAAAATCCTAAGGAAAGGATTTTTCATAAAAGATGTCTGTGACAGTCGGCCTGTAAGAAATGAGGTCCCCCTGTGTTTCAGTGGCACACGGAGCAGCAGGGTTAGCTTGTGCTGCAGGTGGTGGGGCAGTGGGCAGGCTGGGGCTGCTGCTGACCGTGGTGTTGTTGTTGGCTGCAGGCTGACAGCCCCGAGGACATGCACAGCTGGATCAAGGCCATTTCTGGGGCCATCGTGGCGCAGCGGGGACCGGGCAGATCGGCGGCTTCCGTACGTCACCCTGCACCCCAGAGGGGCTGCCACGAGCTCCTGTTCACCTGTGCCACTCACTCCTGCCTCTCCCTTCTGCCTTCCCTCTCTCCTGTCCTGTAGTAACGTGGCCTCTTTGCATGAACTTTCAAACATCAAATACTTTGTGGTTTTAATGGAGCACTTTTTTTAGTCCTACCTGTGACTTTCTGTGCATTGTTTGTCTTGAACATGTAGATAATGTAGTGCTAACCTGGAGAAGGCCAGTATGATCTGTCACTATTACTACTTTGGGAGTTAAATTAAAACTTTCTAATTCCTGTGAGGTGTTTCTGCTAATTGCTGTGTTTTGCAATCCAATGACAATATCCTAATTTCTTTGTAACAACTCTCACTGCTAAATTGTCATTCTCTATTGCTGATAGTTTATTGTATATAAATTTAAGCTAAGAGATCTGTGTTCACACGAATTAGTTCTTGCTGTTGGAAATGCAGTGAGAACAGCATCTTGTAGTTCTGAACTGGGGCACTGTGACAAGTGTTAATATTTCTGAAGCCACGTGGGTGCCAGCATTTTATATCTACTAGCATATCAACTGTATTAGTTGTTTAGCACAAAGGTCATTAACTTGAGGAAAGTAGTGGGAGTTACTCTGGTGTCACAGTGTCTCCAAGTATGCCCAGATGTAGCACCAGGAATACTTCACAGCTCAGGTATTGCATGCTGTGTTTTTCATTTACTGTCTCTGGGATGTTTTGTAATAAACTGGATGCATCATTACCCCCATAATCTGAAATCTAGTAATTCAAACCTGTCTTTTGACTACAAATTTGCATTGATGCCATGTGTCTGGTAAGCTAAGCTCCCTTCATCCTAAGCTCCCAACCAATTTTTGGTAGCTGCTTCATGCTTTTATTTCAAACTTCCTGATATAAATTTTCTCTTTGTGGGGGCAATGAAATCACGCAGGTAACTTTTCTTTCCGTATGCTTTTTTTCCTGTGTTTTTTTTTCTCTTGTGGGGCTAACTGAGCAATGTAGCTATGACTGTCTGCATCACTTCTTGTTCCCTGTGTTGTCCTCTCTCCCAAGTCCAGGTGACTCTAATCTTAGCTTTGCACTGTGTTCCAGATGCGGCAGGCCAGAAGGCTGTCGAATCCTTGTATACAGAGGTATACATCAAGAACTGGTGAATGCAGCACGTATGTGGGCTCTCATGGAAACTTGCCTTCTTAACAGAGGGCTAGGACTAGACACTAATTTGCACTATAAAACAAACTAAAAAATAATGCTGCCTGTTGTCATTACCATTACTGAAAACTAACTCATCAATAATATCGTTCACTCACAGGTTTGCACTGTTTTTTCTTGCTTTTAAAATGATTGGAAATGAAAAACACCAAAACCGCTGCTTATACATCAAAGCACAGTAAATATTTAACCATAAGTGATGTCACTTTAATAGGAAAGCACTAAAGCTAATTTGCATGAGAGTTCATATTTCCATTTTACTTTACATTTGTTTTGAAACTGCGCCAAAGTGAGATTAAATGGAAGCTGCCCACAAACTAATACAGATGAGTGCACACAGAACATGCCCGTTGTAACTCTAGGATTTGGAAGGCTCTGAAGTAGCCTGATCTGCATGGCTTATGAGATCTCTGCATGAAATGATTAGTTCAAACATAGAAGCATTATATAATAATGTATAATCAATACCCTGTTCAAAGCAGGGCACCTTAGGAGTAGTGCAGCAGCACAGTCTCTTAACTGTGAAATTACAGCCAGTGTGGGTAGTAAAATCTGGATATCCCTCAGGGCAGCTTATTAAAAATTCAGAGGTCTTGTCCTAATATCCCTTTTGTCCTATTTGGTGAAGTAAAATTATTAATAGTAAGAACAGTAGGTAAACCAGTGACTCATAAGTTCTCTTAAAGCAAACTTTTTTCCTTAAGTGGAATATCAAGGCAGGTATGAAATAAGACACTGTAAATGATGTGAGCTATTTTAGTGAAATTGAACACCAAACTCAAGTCCAAAAAAAGTTGCACAGGTTCATCCAATAACATTAAGCTCACGTATAAAAAGAAATATGGTAGTACTTGGCAAAATCCATTTTCATTAAATTTATTAATTCATATGTCATGAGAATGTCATAACATTCTAAAAGAAACTTGAAAAACTGCAGTGGAAAAAAATAAGTATTTAATTTAGGATTTATATTTGCATCTTGGACACACATCTGTGATGGGTTTGAGGTTTATTTTTTTTTTTTTTGCTAACAAATGTGCTTGAGAAATGCCTTGATTTGTGTGTGCACATGGGCTGGCAGATTCCTTTAGTTCCTGGACTAACACTGGTGATGGCAGAACTGGCAGCAGCTGCAGCTCCTAATGCACACACAGTTCACTGCAACATTACACAGCATTTGCATCAGAGCATTTCAAACCCTGCACTGCTCAGGGATTTGAGACATCCTGACAGAACTGATGGATGCAGTGCAGAGCCCAAGGAACTTCTTGTTCCTGTTCAGGAGGTCAGACTATCCCAGGACATCCAAATGGCATTCCATGCCTGCTCTTCAGACAACTAAATCATCCCTGGGTAGTCTGGGGACTTGTTTTTGTCAGTAAGTAAATGGTGGAAGATATTTTAATAGCTATGTAAAGGTCAGCAGAATAATGATAATAAACACAAAACAATAACTTGCATGGAAGGAATAGCTTAAGTATCAGTTTCTTTTCTAGGTCATTAACTTTGGAAATTTTTATATACTAATGATAGCTTAAAAGTTTTGTTTGGTTCTTGGGAGAAATTAGGAAGATTTGGTGCTCCAAGAACAGGGAACAGTAAAATGTGCATTACTTCAGGATCCAGGATATGACTGCTCGATTATATGAATAGGTCTGAATCTGTTTTTCTTTTGGAAAGATGTGACTTTCAATGGCCTTTAAAGTGTGCATCTTCAAGCGGTTATTTAACATCTTAGTAAAATGAGGAGCCTAAATTGCTGGACTAAAGTCTACAGAGCTGCTGTGCTTGATTTAAGAATTTCATCTCATTGAATGCAGCAGCTGATGTTGCTGTGAGCTCACACTCAGTAAAGCAGAGCCTCACAAAGCACCTGCCTCCTGCTGCCGTGGCTGATGCTTCGCTTTGTGTATTTTCTGTCTCCATATTTGTATTTATTTTGTTTTCATGAGTGTGAAATCTGAACCTGCATCTTTGCAACGTGCCATCAGCCACTTCACCTGACACATCCCCTTCTTTTTGCAGGAGCATCCCGAGTCTTCTGCCGAGCCCGGCCATGCTGTCCGTGCAGCCAGCTCACATTCCACAGCCCCTCACTGCAGCCCTGTGGCCTCAGCCCCTCACCCCAAACCCCCTGCCTTGGAGAAACGAGGATTTCACGAGTCTTTTACCAAGGCCAAGCCAAGGAGCTACAAGATCCAGGCTGTCGCTCCAAGAGAATCAACTTCCAAAGTGACTGACCGGGGTCCCTGGGAACCCCGGAGCAAAAATGGCACTCAGGAACAGGATCCTGGCCTTGTGGATCTGGATGATGCAAGCCTTCCAGTTAGTGATGTGTAGGGATGGAAGTGTTTGGAGAATGATCCATTTGTTCGGTCCTTTAATTTCCTTGCTCGGACTTTGAACCAAAGAAAATTCCAGGAAATGAGAACAAAAAAAAAAAATACAAACCGGAGCACTGCTGTTATATATATGTGTGTGTGTGTTCCTGTGCACACATGGGTATATATAATGTGTGTGTGTGTTGCCTTTCAGCTGAGGGTCAGAGATGGGCCTTAGGCATTTTCTCAAAGCCTGATAGTAAATCACTTACTAGGGAGGGGCCAAACTGCACAGTTTAGGAAAAAAAAACCAACCCAAAATGCATTAAACAAACAAAAAAAAAGTACTTCTGCAAGTAAGCAAGGTACCAGCAACTGCTAATTCCTAATCTGGCAGGTTTACTAAATTTGCAACTAATGCTCTGTTTTGGAGAACTTGTTGCCAACAAATGTGATTATTTAATTTCATCTTAAACTACAGTAAGATTTTAGGTATATATGAGAATTTTTTCTCTCCGTGACTTCCAGATACCAGGAAATGCACAAAATGTTTCTTCTGTTCTTTAAGATCAACAGTGTCAACTGATTTGTTATCAGAACAAGAATTCTGAACTCCCTTGGAATTCTCGTTATGGTGCTGTAAAATTTCCACTAAAATAATATTTTGAATAGTCAGCCTATTTTTGATGCACTCCTAAAGGTGGGTTATAACTTTTTGCACATTTGGATTTCCACAGACTGCATGTATTGGTGTTTTGGAGGGGGGGAGAAGAGAATTTGGACTTTGGAATTTGGACACTTTAGATCTTTTTAACTAAGTAGGGTTTATGTTGTGTTACATTAGGCTTTGCAGCAATTATGTTTTCTTAAATGTTTAAATGTATTGTTTGGTTACTGTTTTGAGAATGATTTCCTTCCCAGTGCTTTGTGAGCAGTTCTTGTTTCTGTATTATTGATCAGTGGAAGAGCTCCTTTAGTTGTGTTGTTATTGGTACTGAACTGTTCCTAGTCCTGCAATCGTGGCCTATAACTTTTGGTGCACTAAGAATCTGAAGTGCCTGTGTTTTCTCTCACATTGTCGAAACACTTTGGGGTTAGTGATGTACACAGACCATTCTTACTGGGTTTGAGCGTTGGCTTGGAGTTGCTCTGGATAGCAGAGCTTGAAACAGCTCTTTAAAACAAGATTTATGCCAGGGGTACCAGTGTTCTGGTGTTGCACCCACTGCTGTGCAATATGTGTTCTTAAAAAAGTGAGTATTTGTTGTTTGTGTGCATTGTGTTACGGGGCATCAGTGATGCCAGCGAGGAGAACCTTTACATTTCAAGTATTGGATTAGGTGGTGTGTACTTCTCATCATTTTTGGAAAAAAAACCCATTTGCTTTAATCCCAACCCCACAAATATCTCATGCTGCTGCTTACTGTGATCCCAGTTGTCCAGCTTTGTGAGACTTTCTTTGTCTGCTGGAACCTAAGATACATATCAGGCAAGTCCATCTTCTCTCCAACTTCCAAACTGACTTCCTGCTTGAGAGATACGGATGGCTTTACCACAGCAATTTGTTGATTCCCAGGACAGAATAATTGGTGTCACATAAGAATAGAATATAATGAAATTCAAAACCTTAAATTATATCAGCACCTTCTTTTGGTTTTGGTTTATTTTTTTTTTTAATCCATAAGCTAACTAACCACTGTCTCAAGGCAGTGGTGTCTGTAAATTACTGGTTTTGTTTGACTTTAGATATATGTGAAAACTAGCACAGAATTGGAAATTACTGTAAATGTCTGTACTAGTATTGTAGGTTTTAATTTCTATTAAAAGAAACCATTAGCTCTTTAAAAGCTTATTTTTTCACAAGTACATTCTGTGTGGAAGACACTTTGCATTGTAATATTTTTACTGTAGTCTAACATCTGAAATCACTTGCTCTGGTACAGCTTTCACACTGCATGGTCATTTTATTGTATTTTGGTATTGGCAATTTTACACATTGGGTGGAGGTAAAGCAGCTCCATTATGGGACTTACAAAAAGAGGGGAAAAAGAGAAAAATGAAAAAAGAAATGAACTACTGTTGTAGTTCAGTAGCATAGGGAAATATTTGTGGTTGGTCACTGTCAGGGTCTCCTATTTATCAGTACTTTTATAAATCTATGAAAATTGTTAAATTATTTTAGAAACAGTGCTGTAAATATGTCACATTTAAATTGTCAATAAATCAGTTTGGGTAACTTAAAATAACATCTGGTTGAGTTTCTTTGCGCCATGACAAGTATTTGATCAGAGCAATACATTCTTTTTCAGCATCTAAGAGATCAGATTCTCCTTCATCCTGCCACAGCATCTCTAATTCTTCGAATCTAATCAGGTTGTGTTGCCTAAGAATGAAATTTAACAGACTGAGCTGATTTTCCTGTGCTAATCTCAGTTTCTTCTGTGGAAGTTTTACATGTTATGCAAGGGATATTGATTAAAAAACCATTGTAACATGGATTTTTCTGTCTTTACACGGATGGATCAGAAGGGTTCTTTCTCAGAGATGCTTCCCTGAAATTCAGACTGGCCCCAGTTACCCAGATTGCACTGCCCCCACCTGGCTGTGCACTCTGGCCCTGCACTGAAGAGGAAATCAAATTATTCTGTATGGCCACAGATTTTAAATTCACTGTGTTAAAATAAAATACTTACAGAAAACGGAACTGCTGACTGCAGTGCACATTCCTGGGGGCAGCTGCTGAGGGGTGATGTGTTAGGATACAGTTTAATAAAGTGGAATATTCTTTAACCGTGTGGAATATCAGGATGTCAGCACCACCTAGGGGTCACACTCCAGCTTTAAAAATGAGTCAAGTCTAGTACTAATCTACTTTTAAAGTGTATTTCATACTTGAAAACTGATCTGGAGACTCTGGTTGTTAAGTCAACTGTTCCAGGTTGGGTTTTTTTTGTTGTTATTATTATTTTTGCTAATTTTTTTTAAGGTTTTATAGTAAGTATTATAATGGATGGAGAAATTACAGAGTACATTTAATATGGACACTCTGAAGGTGTGGAACAGAAATATTACTGTCTTTTTAAAAATTCCATTTTAAATAGAGGTGAGACAGAGGAAATGAAAGAAGAGAAAATATTGGATATGGAATTTCAGTCTAAAACTAGAAGTTAAAGCAGTGAAGCCATGTATAGCTTTACCTTTTAACAGTTTCATTTAATGTCTTAATAGTCTTCTGAACTTTGCAGAACAGCCTACAAATCATTTGATGCTTCAAGCCAGTGAGCTGTTAAAGCCCTTCAGAGGTGAAGTGAAATAGTGAATGCAGCTCTCTGGAGAACTGAAACCTGAATCCTGCCCTGGGAGTTTTGTCTGCCTGCATTTTTTCACTTGAGATTTTCGGTGCAACCTCTGAGGAAAAGAAGCTGGTGCTCATTTGTGAAGGCACTACTAATGACCTAGCAGCTGTTGAACGCTGCCCTTCAAAGTGTCACTTTTGACACTGTAATTAGAGATTTGCATTTCAAACGAGGGGAATTTTGCCTATCAGGATGCACAGTGAACGCATCCTGCAAGAATTTAAACCGCTCTGCATTCGGGACACTTGAGTCACCTCTGCTCGCAAGGGATATTGATTAAAAAACATCCCAGGGGAAGAAAATGTAACATAGATTTTTCTTTCTTTACAGGGATGGATCAGAAGGGTTCTCTGAAATCCAGCCTGGCCCCAATGACCCAGATTGCACTGTGCCGCTTCAGAGCGGTGGCAGTTGGTGGGACAGTGGTTTATTTTCTATAAATGACCAAGTTTCAGGTTGTTTCACAGCCTGCAGTGTCCTACGTGCGCTCCTGCAGGGAGGAAATGCCACCCGAACCACAGAGACACGCTCGCTGCAGATCAGCAGTTGTTCCTTGGGGCAGGTCGCTTGGCTCCGTGTCAGGCTTTACAAAAGACACCCTGATGGCTCCTTTCGTTTGTAAATTATGCCAGCAGTAATGCCTGTCGAGCACCAGGGCTAGATTATATCAGGGGAAGAGCGTGGAGTTTTGAATTCCCTGGTTTGAAGCCATTCTCTTGCAAAGCAGTGGCGTTCTTTTCTGTAGGTAGCAATGAATGTAGTTTTTATAAAGGTTCGGGTTTTTCCTTTCAGTTTCTGTAAGATTTCTCTTGTTATGTTAAAGTGGAGAAATCCTGGAGTTTTGAGAGGTGAGAGTAGGGTTGTTACACTTTTTCCCCCGAAAATCTGAGAGGAAGCCATTAAGGCATGCAGCAAAATAATGATAATAATGAAGCGAACAGAATAAAGCTGGAAAAGCTTTCTGCGAAGTTGGAGTTTGCTCAGACTATCAGCATTCCAAACTCCCCAAAGCTCCTTCATCCTCTTTTCTGGCCAGGACCCTTCTCGACTCAGAATATCCATTTTTCTCTGCCCAAATGTGCCCTTTTTCATCCTTTTCTTGCTGCCCCTTTCCGTGTGTGCCCAGGTGCTGCCAGGCTCACATGGCAGGGCAGGCTGGCACAGCATCCCTGGAGCCCTGACAGCAGTGCCCGCACTTCCATCCCTGCAGGGGAATTTCTGCTGTGTGATCTCTAGGTGGAGCCTCCTATCACCCAGTTCCCTGTGAAAAGTAGGAGATATTTTACCTCTGAGACTCTGGATATGTTTTTCAGACCACGTTTCTGGCTTTTCTGGTGTTAATGTCTGCTGTTCTGCGTCTGGTGGAGGAGAAATAATAATTGCTGTTGGTGCAGCACCTCTCAGGTCTAAGGTACTTCTGCCCAGATCACATAGGCAATTAACAAATTATTTTTCAGTGAGCTAATTTATTAACCTCCCCAAAGACTTAGCTCAGTTATTCTGGAAAGCAAAATGTTTATAATCAGATTTTGTGCGCCTACAACTATAAAATTAATATCATAAATTATTATATTTTTAATACTCAGTAGAAGATTTACATTCTTACAAAGAAGAGTTTGAAGCTGATAGCGCTGCCTGATGTGTTAAAAATACATTTTTTCCTCTCTAGAACAACCACTATCAAAGGTGAGGACAAAAAGAGACACAACCATCCATGGACAGAGGATGACAGAACCTGGAGCTTTCCCACTGTGGGTAATTTTTTCC